AATTCTTGTGTCTTACACCTAGGGGTGAAATTCTAGGTCATATGGTAATTCTATACTTAATATTTTGAGGAAATGCTAAACTGTTTTTCAAGTGACTGCACTGTTTTACTTCCCTGCCAGCAATGAGGTTTATATTACTTTATTATCAGCCTCAACTGTGAGAAAAACATGTTCCTCTTCTGGGAAAATGAGGCCCAGAAAGCCAAATTATCCTACTTAGTGCTGATGTGGGAAGTGGGAACTCAAGACTGCTCTGTTTTGCTTCCTCAATACAGCAGGCTCTGGGCCAGGGATGTAGCTCAGTGGTATAGCACTTGCCTACCACATGTGAGGCTTTGGATTTGATTCCTAAATGCAAAACGCAATGACAACAGACAATCAACCAACCAAACCCTCCAATACAGCAGACTGGCCCCACAGGCAGGTATTTGACAACCGTCTGTTGCATTATGAATTAGCCTGAAGTCCCATATGCGAGAACCAGCTCTGTCTGGTGGGATGGATGCAACATTCACTTCCAAGCCCCATCATGCCCCACCACACCCAACCTGTTGCCATGGTTGTGCAAATTCCAAAATGCTGCTAAGGCCACATTCAAGACCCAGCTGAATGCTGCCTGCTCTAACAAGACTCAGGATCACTCCCAATCAGATGAATCTGGTACACACTAGTCTGGGGACTTTTCAAGCACTTGTGTCATTGCCCTTTGTTACTTATTTACCATGTCATTTAACTTGTTAGTTATAAATATTCTGATAAGATATTTTATTGATTTTTCTAATAAGCTATTCATTTTGGAATAAGCAATAAAAATAATTACCTTGTAAAATGTTAATTTTATATTTCAGAAGTACACTGTTACTCTAAGATTTGTGGCATTTGAGAGAAGCCTGTCAATGACATCTCCCACTCATATCTATAAAGAACACTCTTCTACTGGACCAACCCAGCCCAAAAATGAGTTTGTGAGATGAAAAGTAGTCTATAAAGTGCCATTACACTTTGGAAGTCTGGAGAAGAAGAAAAAAAAACAATTCAGGCTCATTTACCTTTGGTCCCCAAAAGACTATCAGCCCCTTTGGTTTCTTATCAGAGATTTTAATAACCCAACCTCTGATGAGTGTCCTGACTTCCATCAAGAACTCATAATTTGAAGGACACAAGTGAAACAAAATAACAGTAAATCAAGTCAGCCTCGGTAAGATGTTCAGAATTCAATGACAATGGTTCCAGTGCTAGAAAGAAGAGATGATCTCTAACTTAACCTTTTGACAAATTCTTAAGAAAGCGGTATCAGTTCCCAACGCTCAAATTAGGATACTTTGAGCAGATTTTGCAGATGTAGACAATCATAGGAGGAATTACGACTGTGGGTGGGGAGAGGGGAACCACCATGGTACAGAAACTACCCATAGGTCTGAGCAGGAAGGAGGAGGTACTAGGAACCTGGAGGAGTTGAATAGAGCAGCCATCCAAGAGGAGGTCCAGGGACAAAGTTACCAAACGCATTCTTCCTCCCTCCCACCCTCGTCCCAACAAGCCAAACCCATGTGGAAGTCAGAGGGCCCTGGGCCTGTTGCTCTGTTAGTACACATAGATAGTCTCCCAGACAGGAGTTGGGAAAGGAAGTGATCTGGAAGAGGAAAGGAAGGTGCATGAGGTTATGAAAAGGTCAAGATTAGGCCCTTAATAAACACAAACTTCGCTCATTCTGAGGGCGGCCAGCCTAGGTTAGGTGTCACTCCACACTGTGACTATGATTGTGGAGTAACACTACAAGAGCAAAATAAAGTCAAGGGCAGAGGAGCAGCTGCAAGGCCAACATGTGGCCCAGCTGCAGAGAAGGGGTGGAATTAAGTCAGAAACAGGTTAGCAGCAGGAGGCCTTATAGCCTGTGAGCCAGTGGGCTCTTCATTTGTTTATAGTTGTAGATGGATAGCATGCTTTTATTTTTTAATGAACCCAGTGCCTCACATGTGCTAGGCAAGTGCTCTGACACTGAGCTACAGCCCCAGCCCTGGGCTCTTCTTCAAAAGATGACTCTGGGCTTATAACAGTTCCTACAGTTTCGAATGGGAAGGGCATTAAAGACATTTCTACAGGAGTTATATCTTGACTGTTCCCAAGCCTGGGGAGACAGGGAAAAACAATGATCCCCTGCATCACAGAGCCATCTGTCCACCTTTTCCCAGAGTACACGGGAGGATGCTCGCTTTGCTTTAATGTATAACCCTTGGTTAAGGAGCTACAAACACGTAACCTACAAAACTACATTATTTATTTTTTTTCTTTCAGTCTCTAATAACAGGCTGTTTTTTTTTTTTTTTTTTTTTGCTGAGGGAACATTTAGACTTTGGACCTACCAGGTTAATATAAAGAATGTGGTTCTTAACTTGGCTCAATATTGAAAAGTCTGTTAGAACAGTGCATAGATTACACCCCCTAGCCCCAGAAGATGGGAAACTGCCTCAGATTACACATCCCCCACCTCAGATGACATCTCCCTGCTCCACCAAGTCTCAATCCAACTGGGTTAGCTTTGGCAAGGGGATGGGACCAGATCAGGAGCCACTGCTGCCCTATCAAGAACAAGTTCCAGATCCATCCTATCATGCAACACCTAGCCAGACTTAGCAACTCAGCTGACTAAAGAGGAACAAATTAGCATAGCTCATAGAATAGGCCTTACACAACATCTGCCTAAATTGATTGAATACTATTCTAAGGAATTTGGGGAGGTTAACTTCTTTCCCAGGAAACATTACTTTGTTTTTCCTTGATCCAAAGATTCACAAGGAGTTGAAAACATTATCTATAGTTACAGATATAAAACCTTTACAAACCATCTTCATAATATGCAAATTAATAAACACATGAGTTCAACTTTACCAGTAGTACAACACTCCAAAATGAAAAACATGTTTAGAAGTTAAAAGACATCCCTTGCAAGATTGCTGAGACAGGCATGCTTGGACACTGCTATTTGAGGTGCAAAATGACACTGTTTTGGTATTAAATTAATAGTCATTAAGAGATTTATACCCTCTTCCCCAATAATTCCACTTTGGGAAACATGTACAAAGATTTGTTTGCAAAAGTAAGTAAAAATTTAAAATGATATAAATTTGTACTGGGAGAATGACTGCACATGCAGAATGTTACCCATCAAATTAAAAGAATGGGAGTATCAGCCTGGAAAGAGGCAGTGAGATAGATTCAGAACTCAGGATGTGAGGTCACCTAGATTCAAGTTTTAATCCTGACCCTTATAGTACTTTGAGATTTGGGGCAGCTTCAGCTCTCTAAGCTTCAGGGGAAAAGATGCCCTAAAAATGGAGAGATCACCTTAACCAAGTGATCAAACTTAGCCTCACTCACAGAGGGACCAACTGACTTTATGTGCCTCTGATGAGATGCAAATGGAAGGACACAATCATCATTTATATACTATTAATTCCTAAAATATTTCAACTGACTTTAATCATGAATAAATCAATTGCATGGAATCCTGAAAGACATCTAGTACATGTGTCACTTCTTTTTTTTCGGGTACCAGGATTGAACTCAGGGGCAGTCTACCATAGAGCCACATCCCCAGCCCTATTTTGTATTTTATTTAGAGACAGGGTCTCACTGAGATGCTTAGTTCCTCGCTGTTGCTGGGGCTGGCTTTGAACTTGCAACCCTCCTGCCTCAGCCTCCTGAGATGCTGGGATTACAGGCGTGTGCCACCACACCTGGCAAGACATCTAGTACAGTTTTCAAATGCCTACTTTGTTTTAAAAAAAAAAGATTGTTCCAGATTAAAGAAAATTTAAGAGACATGACAATTAGACAGTATAGAGTGAAATTCCATGATGTCAGCAACTTACTTTCAAATAGCTTAGCAAAACAAAGTGTGAGTGTGTGTGCACATAGGAAGATAAACAGGAGCAAGAACAAGCAAATGTAGCAAATATTAATGGTGAATCCATGTGAATGGTACACAGATGTTCACTGTCCTATTTTCAATTATTCTATAGGTTGGAAAAATTTTGTTTTTTTAAATTACATACCAGGCTTTATTTATTTAATCTAATTTTTTTAGTTGTAGATGGACACCATGCCTTTATTTATTTATTTTTATATGATGGTGAGGATTGAACCCAATGCTTCACACATGTGAGGCAAGAGCTCTACCCTGAGCTACAATCCCAGCCTCAGAAAATTTGTTTTGAAATAAACAACTGAGAGACATAAGTCTATTTCCTCACTTATAAAAATCTTGATGCTGTGGATTAGACTGAACGAAATAGTGCACAGAAAGTGCAGAATCTAGAGTACAGTAGGCATGAAGGAAATGCTACCTATGCACATAATTTGATTTCTACCTTACCGGCTGTAGTGGCGCACACTTGTAATCCCAGCAACTTGGGAGGTTGAGGCAAGAAGATCACAAATTCAAGGCCAGCCTCAGCAACATAGCGAGATGCTGTCTCAAAATTAAAAGGGCTAGGTACCAAAAAAAAAAAAAAAAAAAAAAAAAAAAAAAAAAAACAAAAA